TTAGAAACCTGAGTGTTTTCTGGCTCTTGCCCATGGGAGTGGGTGAGCAGCATGTTTTAGAGCCATGGTGCAGTTCTTTGCTCTTTTCTGTGAGTCAGAGTCATGTGTTATCTAAAATAGTTGGTGAGTGTGGGCAGGGCAATCCAAACATAACAGCAATTCATTAAATTTATTCCCAGGAAGACTGTGACCCCTCATCCAAAGCCTCAGTGAGGCTCCATATGGCTGTGGTAAGGGCCAGCTTGAGCATTCTCCTTGAGCTAACTGGTGCCGCTCAGCCTTGGAGATCCACACTTGCCCTGATGCTGTGTCTTTAGGGAGTTGGGAGCAAGTAGATTCGACCAGGTGTCTAACACTAAGCAAGCCCATACTTGTGGCCGGGCTTCCCCAGTATCCTGCACAGAATGTGTGGTTACCTAACAATGCAAAAACTCTTGAATGCAGTTCAAGACCCAGGCATGTTTGGGATTTCTACATTTTTAGAACATGTATTTGCTGATGTGGCACTCTCCTCCCACCACATACACGTGTGTGGACGTATTACTGTGCTGTTCCTATGAGTGTTCACCCAATAGCTCATGCTGATTGTAAGACCAAGGGCCAAGTTCTAAATCTACCTGGGGCCTGTAATGCTCAGCTGGCTGTTCAGCTTTAGATCACTGAAAGGGTAATCCCATGACTATTAGCCAACACATGTGAGACATGATGAAAGAAGGCTTCTGACTTGAAAAGGCCACGTGGTGATGAGCAAACTCCAGGCAAGCCACAGCTATAATGCATCCGAGCACAGAATGGACACCCTTTCCTGGAAGTAGCCGCGGCCATGCAAGGAGAAGTAGTTGTTAAAAGTATTGCAAAATATCAGTGCAGCGAACGCTGAGCCATTTCCACGGATTACATGTGGCAAGTACCTGTTGTGTCAGAGAAAACTTTTAGAGATTGCTCTGCAGCGGACAAAGAGGAAGGTTTGCTGGAGTAAGAAACATTTGATTACCGCCTAGCCTTGCATCATGTGTAAATATGTGACTGAGGATTTCCCTACAGCTTTCCTTTTAGTACCATTTTCTTTTTATATTTTTAAATAGATTTTTATTGATTTCAGAGAGGAATGGAGAGGAAGAGAGAAATAGAAACATCAAAGATGAAAGAGAATAATTGATTGGCTGCCTCCTGCACACCCTCAACTGGGGATTGAGTCTACAACCCAGTCATGTGCCCTCACTGAGAATCAAACTGTGATCTCCTGATTCATAGGTCAGCATATAACCACTGAGCCACGCCGGGTGGGCCAGTACCATTTTCTTGACATCCCTCCTGGCTATTACACATCCCACCTCACCACCACCCATGCTTTATGCAATCATCACTCTCTCTGTCCTTTTATATGCTTCATTTTTCTCCTGAAGTAAGTATTAGCCACTCTGTTGAGTTTGCTGAGATGATTCTAAGATTATTATTAACTATGAAATAGAAAAATGTGTCCCTCCCCTTTTAGTGACTATCATCAGAAGAAGAAGGACCTGTGGACAATAAGTGGACTTTTTTACTTCCTTGAATCCACAAATCATGGTTTAAGGCAGGTTCTTCTTAAGGCAAAGAAAATGGCGAGCAACATATGCAGCCATCCAAATAGGATAGTGTCCCTGCAAGGGATTAGGGTTGTTGCTAGGTATTGCTGCTTTTTTTGTGTGTGATTTTTGCGATTTTTGTTTTGTTTTGAGAACATTTCTCCTCCTTCAGTGCTCACACGGGCAGCAGCAACACTGGCTGGCACTTGGTATCGCTTTGGGACTGACCAGTCACTACAGCTTCCTGTTAAGAGTTTAACCCGAGGGTCCCTGTCCACTTTATGAGGACATTTTTAGTGACAAGAGAGTACAATTGAGTTGAAAACTTTGCTTTCAGACTATAGTTATTATAATTTGAATCTCAACTTTTTGTCACTTGCAAAAACTAACCCAGAGCTCAAGCTCCGTATAAATACAAAAATATCATTTGATTGCTTTATTGCTTAAATTTGCTAACTTTTGAAAGCAATGTCATGGAGACTAAGGAAAGGAAGATTCTAGGATTGTTAAACTTGCTGAACATTTTCACTGATTCCCAAATTATTTCTGGAATGATCGCATTTGGAAGTATATCCTATGCAATGTATCTACCTGTTATAGCCCCATGAAATGGCCATTTCAAATGGTAATGACTCCAGGAAGTAAATCCTATTCTTGCTAGATAAAAACCCCAATAAGACTTCATCTGCTTCAAAGTAATTTACGTGGACCTCTTTTCTTACCTAAGTTAATGGTTTTTATCAATGTCCCAGTGCTCAAGGAATGTAGTAGGAATATTTTTTTTTCAATTTTTATAAGGAGAAATAGAAAAAAATTAAGACAAGAACTAGAGCATGTTTCCTCTGAGTGTAGGTCTGTTTCTTTTTCTCCTATCACAATCCCATCACTTCTCTTGCTAATATTTTCTCATTTCTTTCTTAGTCCTAAAGATTTTCTTCTAATTTACTTCACTCTCAAATTCCCCACCTCTCCAATAATGGATTTTCTATTCTCATCCCAGAGTCTTTCCTGTCAGCATTTAACCTTACACCATCCTCATTTCTTCTACTTCATGATTTCTTCCTTATAAAATCACAATTGGGTGGGCATCTGCCACCCATGCAACACTGGTTCAGTGGGAGATATGATAAATCCCCAAAGCCTTACAGTCTGACAGTAGTTAAATTCTGTATCCACAGCGGTCTGACGTCCTTTTCATTTAATATGACATTCTGATTACCTATAGATAACTCCAGCCCCTTTGGAGTCCTTAACAACCACCACCAATTTTGAATATTTCTTCCAATCTCCTAACATTATGACAATTTTCTATGTTTGCTGAAGGGAGGTGGTGCCACCGTGTCATGATATTCAAAGTCCTCTCACATACTTCCCCAATTTTCTTCCTAATTCTGACTCCCCACCTGCACTCTAGTCAAATTCAATGTTCATTCTGCTTACCTGGTGCTTTCCTACCCCTTGCTGGAGGAGGCATTGCTGTAAAGTTGTCTAGATGATTGACCGACAAAAATATGCAAGGACCTCACAAGACCATGGGCTTGAGTCTAGAGTGTAGGCCTAATTAGAGAATAAGGACAACTTGCAATTGCAGATAAACATGTTCCCATTTCAGCTTAAGTAAGTCACTAATATAAAACGTAGCTGTCTGGAGAAATGCATTGTGTTTTGGGTCAACTCATCTTCCAATTCCATTTAATGAGCTTATTTCAGATTTTTAATGAGTACCAAACCAAAGCTATTGAAGACTAGAAAACAAAGGAACTGCATCATGATCTTATTGCAAGTTGACTTCTCAACCACTACACTTGAAGTGAGCATCATTAGCTGAGTTTAAATACAATAGAGATATCAGAGAAGTTAAACAACCAATCACACAGGAAAGGCTGTTTAAATAAGTTTCCAAAAATCAGTACCTAGAATGACATCTGATGTGGCATTTGCTGAGCAACACAGATCAAATGAAAAAAATGTTAGTTAGACGTGGTGATAACTAATGATAAAATAATGATAAACTACCTAATGCTTAAATAACTGTGTGGGAGAAAAGAGGTGACAAGGAGGGCAGAGCCTTTTGTATGCAAGTCCCCACTGGTGAGACCGCCAGGTGGTTCTGAGCTTCCACCCGACCCTGTTTTGAAGGTGTCAGGCCTCCAGAGGTAATCCCATAGTGGTTCACAAAAGCTGGGAATCTTTTATAATTCAACAAACATAGCAATAAGCATAGCCCCCACCCCTGATAACTAAATCAAAGTTATCTGGGTATTCAATCTTCAAGCTCCAAGATGATTCTGCTGTGCAGCCAGAATCAAAAGTGGCAGCTCTAAGAGGTCTTGTGACTTTGTATTTTGAGGGTGGACAAAGAAACCTGGTTTCCTTTCAGGATGGTGGACTAAGTGTATTCTATAGCTTCTTCATTCCTGCAGCAAGAGACTCAACTGATGATCCTAAAGAAGTGAAACTTCCAGTGAACTAGAAACGTGGATAAATCCTAAGGTACGGGATGTCAACTGGATTGATGCAAAAACAGAAAATCCATTCTAAAATGTGCACAGAAGCGAAGAGGGCACCAAGACTACTCCATCCCCAAAGATGGCAAACACCAGAAGCCTGAGCATATTAAGGACCATGGACATGTAGGTCCCTGGGCACTGCTGCTGGAGGGACCAAGATTCATCTTCCAGTGATGCCCTTTCATCGACCCTTGAACCAAACAGCAGTGACAGGGTCAGTCTCCAGGTAGGGAGCCCAAATTAGATAGGTAGGGCCATGGGTCATGAGTCTGGCCATTGCCAGAGGAATGGGGTACCCGAACTGAACACCTCATTGAAATCTCACCCAGTGACTTATCCCTCTCCACTAGGAATAGGTCAGGCAATTCAGACCATCAATATCCCCAAGAAAAACATGGCAGCCTTATCAAACACTTATTTTTTACTGAGCAAAAGTTAGATTACTGCCAATTGCTCTTTTAATTTGCCTCTAAAGAGATTTTTTTTTTAGAGTCTAGCTATCTCTGATGATTTTGAGTTACATAGAGAAGATAGCTGGGTAAAACACACCACACAATTTCAAAAGGTAAGTCTTACTATCTCTCTCTCTCATTTGGCATATCTTTATTACCCAGAATAAAAATCCATAGAAATAATACGAATATAATTTTCAGAGAATTCATACATGGTGGAGTTTTAGGAGGACTTGTAAATGAAGGAAGGCAGAGATTCTCATCTCACCGATTACGAGCATTTTCCCTCATGGAATAACCAACTCGCGTGGGGAACTTTTGTTTACAGGCAGGCATGTATATAGGGCCAGAGCTTGTTGGTTTCTGTCCCAGAGAAGGTTTCCAGCACTCCCTTTGCCTGGTAATATTCCAAGACCGGTTTTGTGTGGTCTTCGTAAGCTTTCAGCCTCTTGATGAGTATCTCCAGGCTGTCACCCTCTTGCTTCCCCCGTGAGAGGCTCTCCCGTGAGATCATCCACGCCCACCACTTTGGGAGGGTTGAAGACCACGTCGTAGACGCGGCCACTGGGTGGGTGGACCCAGCGGTCAGAGGGGCGTTGCATGATGGCCTCGAAGGGCACGTTCAGGTGCAGCACCAGGTGCGTCTGATAGGCTCTCTCCAGGGCTTCGGCTTGTGGGAGATTCCGGGGGAAGCCACTGAGCAGCCAGCTGCAGGGAGCGAGGTGCTCCAGCTCCTGGAGGGTCAGCGGAGTCATGATGTTGTCCCGGATGAGCGCCCCCCGTTTCATGAAGGGCCAGGCCAGCACGCCGGCTTGTGTGCCCCTCTTTATGTTGTCTCGGAGCAGGTCTCCGCTGGAGAACTTCTTTAGTGCGAAGTGTCTGGTGATGAGCAGGCACAGGGTGTGCTTGCCCGAGCCTGGGGAGCCCATGACCACCGCGCACAGCAGCTGCCCGGCCGCCCCCATGGCCGGCAGCCCGGCCGCCGCGCTGGCAGCTGGGCCCCAGGCCTGGCCTGCACGCTCCTGGCTGGAGGCTCCGCAGCGCCGTGAGGACATGCGTGGGACACGCGCCATGAGCGTGCAGCCTGCAGAGGAAATGGATTTAAAAAGTAGACACTACCGCCGAAACCAGTTTGGCTCAGTGGATAGAGCGTAAGCCTGCGGGACTGAAAGGTTCTGGGTTCGATTCCGATCAAGGGCATGTATCTTGGTTGCGGGCACATCCCCAGTAGGGGGTGTGCAGGAGGCAGCTGATCCATGTTTCTCGCTCTCTATCCCACTCCCTTCCTCTCTGTAAAAAAAAAAAAAAAAAAAAAAAAAAAAAAAAAAAAAAAAAAAATCAATAAAAAAATATACTTTAAAAAAATAAAAAGTAGACACTACTGAAGAGCCAATGGACAGGGAAACTGTGCAGACTGCATCTGGGAGGAAACAAGGGCAGCGGTGTGAGGAAAGGTTTCTGCCCCGGGCTGTCCCCACGGCTAGTTTACAAGCCAACTTGGCAGTGGCTAGTAATTTTTTGAAAATAACTTCTCCGAATCTTCCTTAGACAAACACTTCCCAACAAGAAGGCACATGTGAGATGTCCACTTCAGCCTTATTTTTAGCAGTGAAACATGGTTAACAACAGAAACGTTCACTAATAAGAGAGTGGATAAGCGAATCATACGAATCATAGCCCTAATGTGGAAGGTCAGGCAGCAGCTAAAAAGACGGAGGCAGATTTCTGTAAGCTAACATGAAAAGATTTCTAAGACATAACTGAAAAAAAAAGTTGCAGGGTGATATAATTTGTGTTCAGTTTGTGCTAAAGTGTGATGTAACTTATGTTTAAATATACCTGCTAAGTAAACTGGGAAGCCAAGTTTCAAGCAGTGGGAAGACATGACTTTATTTTTGTTTTTAAACGATTGCTTGTCTGCAAGAATAGAAGCAGGGGGAGCTGTCAGGAGGCTATTTCAACAGGCCAGCAGAGCGGTAAGTACTGTTGAGCTTTGACCTATGAACCAGGAGGTCATGGTTCAATTCCCAGTAAGGGCACACGCCTGGGTTGCAGGTTCAATCCCCATGGGGGGCATGCAGGAGGTAGCCAATAAATGATTCTCTCTCATCATTGATGTTTCTATCTCTCTCTCCCTCTCCCTTCCTCTCTGAAATCAATAAAAATATATTTGTATAACTACCCTATCTAATAAAAGAATAATATGTAAATTGACTGTCACTCCAAGACAAGATGGCTGCCCCCAAGAGGTCAAAGATGAATGCCCCCATGTGGACACAAGATGGCCAGCAGAGGAGGGCAGTTGTGGGCGACCAGGCCTGCAGGGGAGAGCAATTGGGAGGGACCAGACCTGCAAGGGAGGGAAGTTGTGGGCAATCAAGCCTGCAGGGGAGGACAGTTAGAGGTGACCAGGCCGGCAGAGGAGGGAAGTTGGGGGTAACTGGGCCTTCAGGGAAGGGCAGTTGGAGGCGATCCAGGCCTGCAGGGGAGAACAGTTGGGGGTGACCAGGCCTGCAGGGGAGGGCAGTTAGGGGCAAACAGGCTGGCAGGGGAGCAGATAGGCATCAATCAGGCTGGCAGGAGAGTGGTTAGGAAGTGATCAGGCTGGCAGGCAGAAATGGTTAGGGGCAATCAGGAAGGCAGGCAAGCAGTTGGGAGCCAGCAGTTCTGGATTGTAAGAGGGATATCGACTGCCCATTTAGGCCTGATCCTACCAGTTAGACATCCTTCAAGGGGTCCCAGATTGGAGAGGGTGCAGGCTGGGCTGAGGGACACCCTCTCCCGTGCACAAATTTTGTGCACTGGGCCTCTAGTATATATATAAAAGCCTAAGCAAATTGTTATGACCAGATGACCAGATGACCGTAGCTATGAGATGCACTAACCACCAGGGGGCAGAAGCTCAACCCAGGAGCTGCCCCCTCGTGGTCAGTGTGCTCCCGCAGCCAACCTCCCCAAGTCCCTCCCCTCGGCCAACCTACCTGATTGCCCCTGATCAGAACTGGGCAAGATGGCCTGATAGGCTCTGATCAAATCAGGCCAAGGGACCCAACCCATGGACGAATTTGTGCACTGGGCCTCTAGTATATATAGAAAAAGAAAGTACTGTTTAAATTTAATTTCTCCAGAATAAGATTGAGAATCTTCCCATTTGTTTTTGGACCATTTGTGTTTTATTTACGTAAAATTCTTAAATTGACAGTTACAAGCTTCAATCACTCCCTTGGGAAAATGTTTTCGGTTTCATCTATTCCAGGAGCTGTGCGAGACCCTTCCTTTGTCTTGGGGAGTCCGATCGCACTGGCTGAACACAGCACGCACAGGCTCTGCCTCACACGGCGCTGATCCTAATCAGAGGCTGCTGAGCCACCAGCCCCGCAACCCACTTCACTCTCTTCCTTTCTTGGGTCGCTTCACTTCTAAAAAAGATCCGCAAAAATAATCTGATGGGCTGTTCTCATTCCATAAACAAGGGAGAGAGCTATTTCCAGAAGACAGATTTTGGGAGCACAAGCCTAATTTCTGTATTTGTGCTTTGTGGCAGCAGAGTAGCGCTGCTGCTCTAATTTCTCAAACTTTTTTTATTAGTTCTCTATTTTTGGTCTTTAAACAGTGATATAATCTCTTCTTGTTTCTGTTTCCAAAAAAAAGTATACACGGAATACCTAAGAAGATCCAAAAGGTAGATAGATGGATATTTAATAGAAATTTGGCCTACATCCTGCAGCCAAGGAAAAAGAACAGATGTTATAATTAGAAACAGTATTTTTTATAATACTGATTGATTTGGATGCTATTGTTGACTTTTATAATTAATTACATTAAAAAAAAAAAAAAAGGATTTCACCAAGGCCTTTCTAACCTGGATAGATTTAGACATCTGGTATATTCACCCTTTACTTGAGGTATCTAATTTGGTATCAGACTCCGGTCCCAGAATATTCCAGAGAGAGTATCTGCAGAGAGTGGGCATCGTTGATTTGACTGCAGGTGCGAGTGGGAGAGGATGGGCCCCCGAGCAGCATAGAGGAGGCACACTCCACGTGGGCCTGCTGGGCCCTGGCAGACCCCCTAAGCACACTGAGTCATTCTGGCTCCTGAAACCACCTCGCCTCTTCCTCCTTTTCCAAACTGCTGTCACATAAGCTGTTTGAGAAAAATGGTTATGAAACTCGGTCTTGATGGCATCTGATGAGAGATTCTTTGACGAAAAAAAAAAAAACAAAAACCCATAACCAGTAGCCAAGTAATATCATCCAACATATTTGACCTCATTTAGCAAAAGAAAAAAAAAAAAAGGTCCAATGCCAACTCAAAAGTTTGTTGACATTTTCTAGGTATTTCTTTACAGTAGCAGAAGCCAAGTAGCAGAGCAGTAAAATAAAAACAGCAGAGCTTCTCAGAGTAGGCCTAGTTTTACATTGCTAATCATTTTGAGGTGAAAATTTCCAAGGTAATGTATTGCCCATCCCTAAGAGAGTGTTAGCTAGCAGTGTAAGGCATCCAAGGAAACAGAGCTCAGAGCCCCAGGTAGGATAGCAGGTGAGATCATCATTCATTCATAGATTCGGCCAACTTTCAATGGACATTTATCCAGGTGGCTAGTTGTTCTAAGCACGGGGGACAAAGCCCATGGGAAACACTGAAGCCCAACTGTCCTTATACGTAGAGGAAGAGACACCAGGGATGTGGACACAGAAAAAAACATATGAAAACACTGCCTGCAGGTCACGGAGCGAGTCCTCACAGAAAGCAGCCCTGGCGGGACCTTGGTCGTGACCTACCAGACCCCAGAGCTGTGAGAAAACAAGTTCATGTTGGTTAAGCCCCAGTTCTATGGTGTTTTATCAAGGCAGCCCGAGTCCCGAGTGTTGGTGACTTTCTAGCGGGCATTATGGGTCACTGTTGCCCACGTGACCCTCTGGGGAGTTTGAGATGATTTTAGATCTCTGCCAGAGAATGTTTCCCACCCTTACCCCTGGGTTTGATAAGTATATTTTATTTTTTACACTATTTTATTATGGAAATTTCAAAGATACATAAAATTAGAAAATAGTATAGCCCCATGTTTTCAACAATGGTCAACATTATGCCAGTTTTATTCTATTTGATTTTTGTCTGGAGTATTTTCCAATCATTTTTTATCTTTTTTTTTTTTCCTGGAGCATTTTAAATAATGACACTTTCTAATTTAATGATGGAGTATTTATGTTTCAGAGTGTACAAGAAAAAAACATAACTAGCACATCAAACCTAATACTTCAGAGTAGACTTGCTTAGGACAAAACTTCGCTATGAATTTAAGTCTGAAAACTGCTACAGTTTAAAAACGGACATGGCAAAGTTCAACCAGGGAGTATATAACTGACTAAAGTTTATGGCAGTGGTAGAGGAAATAAGAGATTAAGAGGAGGTAAGAGACACTCCCCTCATCTTCCCTCCCTCAGTGAAGTTACAATGGTCAGAAGAAATTCCTTCCTCTATAGAAAATGCTGGCGCCATGCCTGGCTCTTAAGCATCTATAGACAGAGAAGATAATACTGTTTTTGGAAGGCATCTTTGACTCCAGAGAACTGATGCTGGTTAACATTTATTAAGCAACTTCTGTGGGTAGACACTGTGGTGGGAGATTTACATGTGTTATCTCATTTCCTCTTCATAGCCACACTATGAATAGGTGTTATGATCCCCATTCTTAAAATCAAAAAATTGAGGCTAAGAGAAATTAAGTAACTTAAAGTCAAAATCTATCAAGTGGATGAGCTAGGACTTGAACTCAAGCCTGTCTTCCTCTGAGACCATGTTGGTTTTCCACCAAGCTCCCCAGGTAGCGAGGGCCGTCCCCAGGCCTCCAGAGAGCAGCTGGTTAGGGTTAGTCTGGAGGCCTGGGGCAAACCCGATGCTTCATTTGCTAAGATTTGGCCTTGAACATTTCACTTCACTTTTTCTGAGTCTCTGTTTTTTGTTGTTGTTTTTTAAAAAAAATATTTTGTTGATTTTTTTACAGAGAGGAAGGGAGAGGGATAGAGAGTTAAAAACATCGATGAGAGAGAAACATTGATCAGCTGCCTCTTCACACTCCCCACTGGGAATGTGCCCACAACCAAGGCACATGTCCTTGACTAGACCCTTTGGTCTGCAGGCCGACTCTCTATCCACTGAGCCATACCGTTACAACTGAGCTTCTGTTTCTTAAGCATAAAATAGGGACAATAATACCACTAAAGCAATTTGCAGGCACCAAGTAGAATAATTTATATAGAAACCTGACACTGCAGACACTAAATGTTGGTACTCTGTTTGAAGGCTACTAGCAGGGCCTGCGGTTTTAAGCAGCCTCCTTCCCCTTCTGGTCTTGGTGTCCTCGGCCGTAAAGATGAGGGGGTTGGCCCTGAAAGTCCTGCCAGGGATAACGTTCCAGAATTGTATTCTATTGAACCTCCGTTACTAATACTGACTCTGAAGTTAATGGAAATGACTAGGTAAACTTCCATTCAGTGTGATGTTATTTGTAATTATAATTGTCTCAGGCTGGGTTCCTTGGAAAGCAGAGCCTGACAATGCTCTGTTGCTGCTGCTCTGTTGGGGATACAATCCCAAGGAGCAGAAGCCAGAGATACTGGAGTGAGGCTGGGGAGAAGGGAGAGAAATCTGAGCAGGCATCAATTGAGCTGGTTGCCACCAAGTGCAACTGGTCGCTCTGTCTTAGGGAACCATGCTCTGAACAGCTGCATCTTAGGACAGACTGTCTGGGGTGGGGAAAAAAAGAGAACAGATTTATCTACTTTCCATTTCCCAAATGGCAACATTTTGACCATAAGATGTTAATTCCTCTGCAATTCTTGGTTGTGCAATTCTGGGCTTGAAGCAAGGTTCCCTGCATCCCCATCACGGGGAAGCTCAGGATGGGAGGTGAGAGGCCTGGGGCATGGGCATGAGGCTGAGAGAAGTAGCTGGAGCTGGTGGCCACAGTGGCTAAGTGTGTAATGTAGTACTTCCACCCAACCGACTCCCAACCAGAATCTGAAGGGGCTTTCTTCATAAAGTAAGGATGAGGATGAAATAATTCATAGAAATTTAAAAAAGGATTTTAGTTTCTTATTCTGAAAAGGAAGGGAAATAATAATGCTTACCCATAGGGTTGTTGCAGTGATAGAGTGAATTCAAGAAGTTAATATTTTTAAGCATTTAAAGTATATGTGGCATATGAAAGCCACTATGTAGATATTTGTGTGTGTGTGGTTTTTTTTTTTAAATAAAATGCTGGCTACATGAGCTTAGATAGCTTCGGCAACAGAGCATTAAATTTACCTCTAAGCTTTCTAGCAGTTCAGGAAAAAAGGAAATATGATCTGAAAAAGAGCCAAGCATTTAACTGGCATGAAAGCCTAAAGGGAATTGATTGCAAGGGACATTAAAAAGCAGAATGAATAATGTTTTCATGATGGTTTAAAAATGGCCAATTCTTTCACTGATACTCTATCAGATACAGCTGCTTCTTCTGGAAGCTGTGATCAAGTTCAGGTCTGTAATTTTCTAAGCATGATTTTGAACCAGTGGTTCTAAAACAGGGGCATGTTGCCTCCCAGGGACCATTCGGCAATATCTGATGATATTTTTGGTTGTCACAACTTGAGGTAAGAGGGTGGTAGAGGAGCTGACATCTAGTAGATAGAGGCTTAGGATGCTATTAATATTGCATAGAATATACCTATACTAAAAAATGTATTTGTTGTTTCTGAAATTCAAGTTTAACTGGGGACCCTATAGTTTAATTTGCTAATTCTAGTAACCCTCGCTGCTAAACTTTCTTCAGTGCACAGGGACAGCAAAGCGTGGTCTGCCCCAAATGAGAATAGTAGTTAAGTTGATAAACCCTGCCCTAAGGGAAGTATAGATCTTTGCATATTTTCCTAGAGGAATGGAAACATAGTGTAGATGTGAAAATATATTTTCCTTAGTCAGACTTTTAAGATTAGTTAGCTGACAATTAGTTTCAGCTCAAAACCTTTGGCCTCGGCCTAATTTATTTATGTCTGTGATGCTGATGAGAACTTGAGCCCTGTCTCCAACAAACAAGTGACAAAGTGGACAAAGTATAGGAAACTCCTTAAATGTCCCCAGTGATCTTTAAATATCTTCTGTCCATACCTGTAGTTTGTTGTCCTCAGCCGTAAAGATGCTACCTCCTGTCTCGTCTGGTTATGTGGAGAGATTGATTGCATCAACAGTCAGTTAATCCAGAAATATTTACCCAGACTGACATTGACTAAGGTGATTTGGGCAATAAAAACAGGTGGAAAACAGAGGCTGTGATACTAAGGGCCTTGCATTTCAGTGCAGAAGTAACCCAAGGGAAGGATACTCTGTGTCTTCAATGTGGGATTAGGTAAAGGTCAGGGGTTGGCTGAAGGACATGCTGGGACAGAGAGCTGGGGGAAGTCCATTTTCCAAAGGAGGGGCCGTGAGTGAGGGCAGATGTTGGGTGCCGGGGGCATGCGGTCTTTCCAAGCAGGGAGTCCCAGCTGGCACGTGGCTCTGGACGAGGGTGGCATAAAAGGCTTGGTGAAAAGTCAGAATCTTAATCCCCCTTTCTCAAACTAAACTCCCTTGACTTCTCTGGCTGCCTGTTGCCAAGGTCCACATCACACTGCTTTTAAAATAATTTTACTAGACACTTCTCCATGTAATAGAACCAAATAGTACATCACAAAGAAAATATTCTCTAAGTAGAGCTGGAAAAGTCCACAATGTAAACCTCCTTGTGAAAATATTGATGGGTTAGTCCCTCACCTCCATCTGCTTTCCAGGACTACTTAGAATGAGATATGGTTTATTAGTGTCTTCAATAATTGTCCAGAGCTGTGGTCAGCAAACTGCGGCTCACGAGCCACATGCGGCTCTTCGGCCCCTTGAGTGTGGCTCTTCCACAAAATACCACAGCCTGGGTGAGTCTATTTTGAAGAAGTGACATTAGAAGAAGTTTAAGTTTAAAAAATTTGGCTCTCAAAAGAAATTTCAATAGTTTTACTGTTGATATTTGGCTCTGTTGACTAATGAGTTTGCTGACCACTGGTCCAGAGGTTATGCATTGAAAAAAAACAAAAAACAAAAACCTCAAAACTGCAGAGGGTGCATTACCAACCATAAAATGGCACAGAAAATGGGGGAAATTAGCTGCCAGCTGCTATCCTTAGCTAAATTGCTGTTTAAGAAGGTAGAAGATGCTCTCTATCCAATGCTGGCTCACCTGAGGTTGCACAAACATCTGTCTTATTCTCAATCCATAGTCAAATTTTCCCTTTCCTTAGTCATTTCTTAGTTGTGGGGAGGTGGCCCCTGTATTTCTAACTTTGTCATGCCACAGTAAAAAAAAAAAAAAAAAAAAAAAAAAAAAGGGAAGGGAAAAAAAAGAAAGGCAGAATCATGCTTGGTGTGATGTAATGTAATAACATATGTTCACACCGGTGACCCTGATTCACCCAGAAAAGGAGTCAGAAAGAAGGGAATTTTTATCATCCACTTCTGAAAGCTTGCCATAAAAAAATAGCTGGAAATAACTTGTTTTGTCTGTGATCGAAGAATTAGTCTCAGTTCTCTGAGAAGCTGACCTCTGTGGTGCACTTCCTTCTCCGTGTGGCTGCGAAACACGTGCTGCTGCACCTTCCTAACGTGCTCGGCTCCCAAAGGTACCGATGGTGGAAGTGGATGTTCTCGAGGGCATAGGCATTTTTTAAAATAAACTTTTTTCTGGTGGAATGGTGTTAGGTTTATGGAAAAGTTGTATAAATAGTTGTTTTCACAAATCCCATCATCCAATTCCCCCCATTGTTAATTTACATAACCAAAGTACATTTGACAGAACTAAGAAGCACATTGATGGGCACATTACTATTAATTCAGCTCCAGGCTCTGTTTAGATTTCACCAGCCTTTGCATGAATTGCCTCTTTCTGTTTCAGATTCCAACCCAGCCCACCACACGGTTTTTAGTCTCCTCTGGTCTGTGACAGTCTCTCAGCCTTTCCTGGTTTTTCTCGACCTTGACAGTCTTGAGGAGGACTAGCCAGGTATCCTGTGGAATGCCCCTCCCCAGATTTGGTTTTGTCTATTGTTTCTCACATGATTAATGGGGGTTGTGGGTTTTGGGAAAGAATACTACAGAGGTGAAATGCCCTTCTTGTTACATCATATCAGGAGCATATGATACCACATGACATCTCTGGTGATGTTAACCTTTATCATTTGGTCCAGGTGGTGTCTGCCACATTTGCCCTTCAGACACAATGCCAGGCACGATGGGACTGAGGATCCTAGGAATTCAACACCTGAGACCCAAACCCAAAGGTTTCACAACTGAAACTCAGTTATGTCCCCAAATAATGTATCAGCTCCCCCTGCAAGCTGCTCTTCCGTCAATGTTTCTAATCTCGGTACCCATCCAGTTGCCGAAGTCAGAAACCTGGGAGTCATCTTTGCCTCCTGCCTTTCTCCTGCCACTAAATCGTGCCCAAATCGTATAATTCCTGTTTCCTAAACATCTTAACCCTTCCATTCCTCACTAGCCCCAGGTCATTGGCCTCATCCAAGTTACATGACCAACCACACATCCAAATTATGATCGCAGGCGCTCAACCAGACTCCCTGCCTCCAGTCTCGCCCCCTTCAATTTTCTTCTACTTCGGAGGCTAGAGAAATCAAATCATATTATTTCCCGTTAAACCTGCCCTACTATCCTGAGGACAAAATCTGAACTTCGCACAAATTTACAGGCCTCCAAATCTCTCTTTGATTATGCCTCTAGTCTTCCTTCCTGCCCTCTTTGCCTCAAACTTCATTTACCAATCATAATCAGCTTTTTTTTTACTTTCCCAAATACACTCTTCTCTCACCTCGAAGAACTTCACACATGCTGATCTCAGTTTAGCATATGTTATCATCCAACCTTAATTAGTTTTCAGTATTCAGCTTAAATACCTCTTTCTGCAAGAAAAACTGACAAGACTCTCTCTTTCAAGCCTTCAAAGGAGATAGCCCTCTTTTCATCTAGGCCTCCTCTCTGGCAGGTTTTAGCAAGAATTCTGCTAAGTCACTTTGGCAAGAACTGTTCGAGTTCCTCATTCCCACCCTTGATGTCTGAGTCCCTGACCTGCCCTTAGCAAAAATCCTGTTAGGTCCATTTAGTAAGAATCCCCAACCCTTGATGTATTCTCTTAGTATTTTTTGGTCCACTGACCCCTTCCCTCTGCTTCTTGGCTGTGGAATCCCCAGCTGTTTTTGCTGTATTTGGAATAGAGTCAGTTCTCTACAGAAGTCTTTTTCTCTACCGCAGTAGTTACTGAATAAAATCTGCCTACACAGCCTTTAACTAGTGTCTGGCTTTTTCCCCCTCTTTAACAATAACTCCCTGACCCCTAGATGAGGTTAGGATCTCTATCACACACCTCTTCTACTTCCCCTGCCATGATTCTCATTATAGGTTATAGTAACTTCTCTAAATATGTATTGTTGTTTATTTTACGAAACTGCAAGTGTGCTGAGAACAAGGATTAGGTCCAGGTCACCTTTGTATTCCCAGCACAGCCCAAAGCTGGGTTTGTGGAATAATGGAATGAGTTTTGGGGTTGCTCACTTGCCTGCCTGTATGGAATGTTCCGCCTGGACAGGAAGTGTTAGGTAGTTTGGGACCATCCGAAGGTGGTGTAGTCAGCCTACACTATGAATGAATCTGTATCTACGTCTGCACCATTGAGCACCTCTCTGGGTCTGGTCTGCCCTAGAGCAGAAGCACTGATGTGGTTTTCTCTAGCAATGCCTGCTGGTACAGGTGGCCACTGCCTAACTCATTCACTTTCTCAAGAGACACTCTCATCACAAGTGCCTAAAGCTCATTCTTGCACTCTCTAGATTTGTTTACCTGTCTTTGTCTCCATTTTTGGCTTCTACAAAAAAATAGGGTGGACCTAAGTTTATCGATTATAGTGTTCAGGCACAAAAAAGTGATTGCTAAGTTCTTCATTTAAAGTAACCATTCTTCATTTTGTATCTGTCTCTCTGCTTATTTATTTCATTGAAGCTTGGAGGCAGTTGACTGCTTTTTGATGCACTTTGGGAGACTGATGAAGAGTATCAGGTTCATATTAAGTTTGAATGGGGGCTTTCTGCTGTTTTGAAACAGATAAATGGACAATAATTTTCAGACAGGAATATCTGCATTTTAATAAAGTGGTTACATTAAATAAAAATTAGCTTTTATTAAACAAATAGGTGAGATGCAAAAGATTGTCATTAATCTGACATTAAGAGACCAAAGGGACCACCTACAAGCCCCTCACAGACTACCAGACTGCACCCCAAAGGGGAGAGGTCTCATCAAAACCCATTTATCTAGAGAGTCTCTGTCAGAGTTTCAAAGGTTCATGGAAAAGAGAATTCTATAACCTCTGTAGCAGATCCTTCTCGCTGTTGGAAATGCTGACTCTGGGAAACCTGAGTCTATTGATTTTTCACTTAAATTCTTCATGCTGCAGGTAAAACCTAACTCCTTTTGTCTTTTTTGCAGTGTAGGAGGAAACAGAAGCTTAAAGAGGTTAAATTACTTGCCCATAATTTCACCTAATAAGTGGTAGACTTAAGATTTGGACCTAGTTCTGTCTTAATCTACTAAAGCAGCTCCTCTTTTGTTCTTAACCAATGGACTCCTTGCCTGGTTAATTAGATTATTCAATAAACAAGCTAATTCACTTCCTTAGTTAGCTCCGATTAAAGATAATGCCCACTGTTGTCCATAAATCCATATTTTTCTAACTCTATGTCCAGGGGTCCAGGTCAGTGAGAGCAGCTATCAGGCTGCTTTTGGGAATACTGGAGATGGAAATAGAAGGCTGCAATGTAGCGTCGTTGGCGTAGTTCATGAACAAGCTCGGAAGCATTGAGTATTCCAGGCGTCTAGTACAGTTTCCTACTCCAGATTATCCCAGAAGCTCTGACATTTAAAAAGTGGTAAAGGCTAATCTGAGCTCAGGACTAGTAGTTCTGCCTCGAATTCCTTGTCTGTAAAATGAAGACCATAATACTCCTAGTAAGGATCCCTGGCACAGTACATGTAAGGAGGTTGAAACAGAGCCTAGTTGATAGTGAGCTTTCAATAAAGCTTAGGTACGAATAATATATTTAAATTATTACCATTATCTTTGTTGTTGTTGTTGTTGTTGTTGTTATAAAATAAGAGCAAGGTGTTTAAATGCAGCCACAGCCAATTAAGTGGTGACTAGGCCTCTGGCCCTGAGGTCCTGACTGGCCAGTGACTCAGCAAGTCAGGCTGTAGCTCCAGCAGCTGCAGCTAAAACACACAGCCAGGGGCCTAACCACCTGGGAATTTGTACATTCATTTTAGCGTTTCCCAGAATTATATCCACTCTTGAATGTACTAATATTTACTCATAAAATATTGTTGTATTTAACTCTTGTCTCCCAAAGCCTTACTTTGTAGTGCTCCTATTTATACCCTATACTTTGGGGGTTTCTGTTTTTCATTATAGCTCACTGATGATTCACATCCAGACCTGGTTATTGGTCTTATATCTTCTCTTCAAATTTTTAACCATTCTTCTTTATACAGAATTCCTATTTTTGCATTCTTTCCAAATTCTTCTGACTTTTCTCTCATCATTTGTAATTTTGTTTGTTTCATATTCCATTTGACCTTTGTCTAAATCTTGCATTAACATTTCTTACATAGCTCATCTTTTGCTTTTTTACACTTCTTAAAACGTGAAAACCTTTGTTTAAGCACATAAATGCTCAAATTGCACAAGAAAGTATACTTACTATAAAAACACAGAGAAATACATACAATTCTTATTCCATATTTTATTAGCTTCAAATATTTTTTAAAATATATTTTATTGATTTTTTACAGAGGGGAAGAGAGAGGGATAGAGAGTTAGAAACATCGATGAGAGAAAATCACCGATCAGCTGCCTCTTGCACACCCCCTATTGGGGATATGCCCGCAACCAAGGTACATGCCTCGGACCCTTCAGTCCGCAGGCCGATGCTCTATTCACTGAACCAAACCGGTTTCGGCAAGCTTCAAATATTGAACACTTGTCTAAAAGTTGTAATAGTAAAAACTCTATTATATTTA